TTTATTTGTAACAGAACTGGAATATTTATAATATTAACAATGGGTTTCTCATGATTTCTTTGCCTTAGGCGCTTAACTATTTAGTCCCAACTATTTAAAAAAAAATCTAAATGTCCGGTTTTTCATGATTCTGCTGCCCAAGACGCTCCACTCTTTAGTCCCTGCCAGTGCACCTACACCAAAATCCGGTCTATATGTCCGGGGATAGAGATGAAATCCTCATGGGAGATCTCAAAGTAGCTCTCCTGGAGGTAATGTTCAAGCCTGTTCATCAGGTTCCTGGGGAGAGCGATCTTATTGGGTCCTCACTGGTACGAAACGTTTCCGCACCAGGAGACAATCAAGTACTCAGGGATCATTGCCCTGCAGAGCATGGCGGCATACGGCCCTGGTTTTTGCAGGCTTTCCCTAAGCATCCGTTCCTTCTCGCTGTCCGAGATCCTCATCAGGGTAATGTCGCTCATGATGCCCTGCTTTGAATTAGGTAGGGGAATGTTAGTATTGGGACTGCTTTACAGCCACGCGGTGGAGGCGGGAGAGGGGCAGCATACAGGGATCTTTCCCTGGGACAGCCGCGAGGGGGTGGGACAGGGGCAGAGTTCATGCTTGCCTGATTGCTGGCAGCAGAGACTGGCATTGCTTTCAATGTGAAAGGAGGCCAGTGCTACTATTAAAGTTTTAAGCAGCCACAAGTCTACGGCTTACCATGTTTGCCCGCTACACAAATTCCGGTGTCCTGCCCCGCTTCTCAGATCGCCACTGCAAGACCACAGGCACTGAAGGCGAGGGCCGAAAATTCGACCTTGTCCTGAGTGCGCATGTGATAGGTGCAGGGCATGGTCTTGTTCACAGAGAAAGACTATGTTCTTTGTTCACAACTACATTTATCTTTCTGAGGAATTTACTCCCTTTTTCCCATTCCCACAGCCACATCTGCGACTGTCTCCCAACCCAGCGTGGCATCACAGTCCCAGAGGCTAGCGCAGATTAGGCGGAGGAAGAAGACGACGCGGGAGGACATGTTCACAGAACTAATGTGCTGCTCCCGAGCACAGGCAGCCCAGCAGACACAGTGGAGGGAGAACTTGTCCCACATGCACAGAGCAAACATGGAACGGGAGGAGAGGTGGCGTCAGGAAGACCAGCAGGCGACTCAAACGCTGCTTGGACTGATGAGGGAGCAAACGGACACGCTCCAGCGCCTTGTGGATGTTCTGCAGGACCGGAGGCAGGAGGAGAGAGCCCCGCTGCAGTGCATCTGTAACCACCCTCCCCCGCCACCAAGTCCCATACCCCCCTCACCCAAAGTCCAAAGAAGGAGGGGCGGCAGGGGCTGTGAAAAGTTTCACTCCACCCCTGCAGAGTGCTGTAGCACTAGAAGGCTCTCATTCCCCAAACTTTGAAAAGTCCTTTCCTACCCACCTCACACAAGCCCCCGTCCAAGTTCCAACCCCCCTGTATCATGTGTTGTTACTAATAAAATATACGTTTCTGTTAATTACTGTTTCCATCATTTTCTTTTGGAGGAGAGTCTGTGTGAAGGGGGGGAAGGTGGTTGGTAATTGGACAGTATAGTCACCTTTAGCAGGGTACAGAGGCGGGGGCAGGTCCAGCAGCAGGGCACATACACAGTGCAGTTACTAGTTACCCTGGTCAGTCTGGGAGGTGGTTTTCATGTTCTGGGGGGGGGGTTGCTCTGTGACTTTGTGGCGGGGGAGGGCAGTTACAGATCTTATGCAGCGGTCCTTATCCTGGATCACAGAGCCACACAGCAGGGGATCTGTAACCCTCCTCCCCCTGCCAGAAAGTCACATAGCCGACACATACACGCAGTCCCGCCCAGGACGGCTGGCAGGCTCCGTTGAAACAACCAGTCCACCACTGCGGAGCCTGTCATTCCTGGAGTTTAGAGGCATCATTTGCATCACTACACTACACCCGCCCCCCACCACAGTCTGCGTCCCAGGTTTAAAACATTCCCGCGAAAACAGTAATAAAGACAACGGTGTTCATTAAGAAAATAGAAATGATTTTAATTTTTGGGAAGGGGGTGAAGGGGGTATGTAGCTGGAGAGGATAGTCAACATAAACTGGGTAAAGAAACGGGGGCAGGTTCAGCTTCTGTGTCCACAAACTTAACAGTCACTGGTTACCCTGCTCACTGTGGAACCTAGCTTTCAAAGCCTCCCGGATGCACAGCGCGTCCCGCTGGGCTCTTCTAATCGCCCGGCTGTCTGGCTGGGCGTAATCTGAAGCCAGGGTATTTGCCTCAACCTCCCACCCCGCCATAAAGGTCTCCCCCTTGCTCTCACAGAGATTGTGGAGCACACAGCAAGCTGCTATAACAATGGGGATATTGGTTTCGCTGAGATCACAGCGAGTCAGTAAGCTTCTCCATCTCCCCTTGAGATGGCCAAAAGCACACTCCACCACCATTCTGCACTTGCTCAGCCGGTAGTTGAACAGTTCTTTTTCTGTGTCCAGGGCGCCAGTATAGGGCTTCATGAGCCAGGGCATTAGCGGGTAGGCTGGGTCCCCGAGGATCACTGTAGGCATCTCCACATCCCCAAGACTTATTTTGTAGTCCGGGAAGTAAATACCTTCCTGCAGCCGTCTAAACAGACCAGAGTTCCTGAACACGCGAGCGTCATGAACCTTGCCCGGCCATCCGACGTTGATGTTGGTAAAACGTCCCCTATTGTCCACCAGTGCTTGCAGCACCATTGAAAAGTAGCCCTTTCTGTTAATGTACTGGCTGGCCTGGTGGTCCGGTCCCAGGATAGGGATGTGAGTTCCATCTATAGCCCCACCGCAGTTTGGGAATCCCATCGCGGCGAAGCCATCTATGATGGCCTGCGCGTTTCCCAGGGTCACGACCTTTGAGAGCAGTACCTCAACGATTGCGTTGGCTACTTGCATCACAACAACCCCCACGGTAGATTTGCCCACACCAAAGTGGTTCGCGACTGACCAGTAGCTGTCCGGCGTTGCAAGCTTCCAGAGGGCTATGGCCACTCGCTTCTGGACAGTCAGGGCTGCTCGCATCCGGGTGTCATTGCGCTTCAGAGCAGGGGACAGCAACTCACAAAGTTCGAGGAAAGTCCCCTTCCGCATGCGAAAGTTTCGCAGCCACTGGGATTCATCCCAGACCTGCAGCACTATGCGGTCCCACCAGTCCGTGCTTGTTTCCCGGGCCCAGAATCGCCGTTCCACAATATCCACATGACCCATTGCCACCGTGATGTCCTCGGCGCTGGGTCTCGTGGTTTCTGACATCTCTGTGCTACTCTCATACTTCAGGCCCTCACCGCGGTGCCGTAGCCTCCTCGCCTGATTTCTCTGTATCTGCCTCTGGGAAAGGTGGATGAGAAGCTGCGAGGCGTTGACAACGGCCACAACTGCAGCGATGGTCGCAGCGGGCTCCATGCTCGCAGTGCTGTGGCGTCCGCGCTGTCACTGACCAGAAAAGTGCGCGAACTGATTTCCCGCCGGCGCTTTCAGGGAGGGAGGGAGGGCGGTAGTGACGGACGGATGACGACAGTTACCCAAAAGCACCCTCGACACATTTTTTTACCCAGAAGGCATTGGCGGCTCGACCTTGAATTCCAATGGGCAGCGAGGACTGCGGGAACTGTGGGATAGCTGCCCACAGTGCACCGCTTCCAATGTCGACGCTTGCCCCGTTAGTGTGGACTCACAAAGTCGAATTACTGTCCTTAGTGTGGACACACACGTTTGACTTTGCAATATCGATTCCACATATTCGATTTAAGTGAAATCGAACTACCCTCGTAGTGTAGACATAACTATCTTATATAAACTTAGGGTATTTTTTTGAAGCAGTGGTTCCTGACCCTTTTTTTGGAACTCCTAACCACCTGCACAGAAATGGCTGAATGGCATCCCTCATCCGACCTCCCTGTGTATCCCCTCGCACTGTCACCATTGTCCTTTTATTCTTGACCATTTTCCTTCTTCTGTCCTAAATGTGTTTTTTTTTTCTTTTCTGAGTAACTATTCTGAAGGATTCCTCCTTCTCCAATTTACCAAAAGACTATATGCTGCAAGGCTAGAGGTGAGGCACCAATCATGGCCCTATTTGGCATATGCTTTCCCAGTGGAGTCACAGAAGACAAAACTGCATCTCTCTGCTACCTGAGCCTAAAGTCCAGTACATGTGAGCTGCTAATATGGTTGTCTCAAAGGCCTCTGTGGAACAGTAAGAGTCAATTGGTAGCTTCGATGGAGCCATCCACTACTTCACCCACAGCTGTGAACACGTTTATAGTGTATGGGGGAGAGGATCCACAAGCTATCCTCACCCACAGTGTTCCTCTTCTCTGGCCTATGCCAGCCTGCTCTAGCCCTGGCTTGTGGTCACTCTCAAGCTGTTTAACACTGTGAAATTTGTATGAATTTAGTGATGGTGAAGAGCTGACAGCCCTCGAGACTGAAGTTCATTATTCATGCAAAGAACAGAGATACAACCATAGCATCCATGCAACTTTTCTCATCACTGCTCCACTACTGTTTCTCAAACTTTCCTTGAAAGAGCCACCTCTCTAGGTCAGAGACAAATTCAGTCTCCAGGTGATGTTCATTCTTTTTCATCTTTCTACCGAAACTCCAAACAACAAAAGTTTGTTTACATTTGTTTTATTTCCCAACATCCCAAAAACTTCTCATATGAAGTTACCAGTTAATGGCCCAGTACCTGCATCCGCTTCAGATATATATATGCTTAAGAATATTTAGCCAAGATACCCAACTGGATGACCCTCCTTATGTGATTTATAATATATACTGTACAGAAATATATCACATCACCAGTGACTGTTAAGATTACAAAAAATTAAAAAGACAGGAAGTCTTTTGAACAAAGTCCACTCCACAGGGCACAAGAAGTGGAGTCTAACTTCCATGCCCTTTTTGAAGCTCTCATGCACTTCAATTAATGCCAGGTATAGTATTTATCTTTGGGGTTCCTCTTGGGATGTACAGACACTCTACCTCACTACCATTTCTGGGTTCCTAACCTCAAGTAATCTCCCACCAATTGAGCTCCCCGGGTTCACCACTGAGGATCAGTGGAAACTAATGAATGTATATTAATAATTCCCACAGTAGCCCATCTCGACCCTCTATGGGCATACTATACTAGAGGATCTGGAGAGAGAGGGGACCTGATTGTATTTATCTCCCCCTAATTGGTCTCCTAGCATCTGAAATACCATGAGAAAATTAACTGTTCCTTTAAGTATATTCCACTTACTCCTGCAGTTTGTGGTGCACCTATAGGCATAGGCCACCTGAACCCTCAATGTGACAAGCATCAGCAACTGAGTGACACTTTTCCCATGGAGCCAGCACCAGGGACTAAAACCAGGGGATTAAAACATTTTAGAGCATCAATCTTTCTCCACCTTTTAGCAGCCTACATAACCCTCAGACCTTCACCTTCGAAACAGAACACGCTAACACCTTTCACTAGCGAGTAAGACTAGCTATGAGAAAGGACTTTACAAATGATCTCTTTCCAGGGCCTGGATGAAAGTAGCCACCATTCTACACCGCAGACATTTACCCTCTGCCCCACAGCCTAGTCCAAATTGATGCCAAGGTTTCCATGGATCCTTAGATTATCCCCGGGGGGGGGAGAGGGATTGTACCGTAATTAGCACCTGTATCCAGGGCTCTAGCGTTTCTGTTGTCACCCCCACCTCCCGCAGGGTGCCCCACCACCCCACGCCAATTTCACCCCATGCCACCCCCAGGTGCCGGGCTACTCTCTACCATCACCCGCTGCCCCCCTCCCCCCACATGCGCTATGCCCGGGGGTCTCTCCCGCGGCCCCAGAAGCCAATCGGGACCCCATCCCCGCACGGGGAGGCGGGTCCGAGGCCTCCCCCGGCAGGGCGGAGCGAGCTCCGGCCGGCCCCGGCGGGGGGACAGTGGCGCCCAGCCGTGTGCTCCGAGCGGGGAGCCCGAGCCCAGGCCCCGGCCCTGCCTCCCGCTCAGCTGCGTACCTGGTCCAGGTTCTCCTCGCTGCCGCTGTCCTCGGTGTCGGAGTCGATGAGGACCCGGCCTTTCCGCTTCTTCACCATGACGGGGCCGGCTCCGCCGCGCTGAGGGGCCCGCGGACGGTGCGGCACTGAGAGCGGCTCGGCCTCCCCCGCGCCGCCCGACCGCCCTGGACACAAAGGGCACCGAGCATGCGCCCCGCGCCGCCCCGCCCTCCGGGGCGGGGTCTCCGCAGCCACTGGCGGAGGGGGGCGGGGCCTGGCCCGGGTGCACGTGCCGGTGGAGGGCTGCTGGGACGCGGTGTCACCCGTGGGGCCGGGGTGTCTGTCACCGCCGCGCCGCGCCTGCCGCCACGACCCCTCGGCGCCCCGGGCCGCCCATGCGCTGCAGCTCGTGGCTACCGGGTGACTGCGGCCGACAGGGATTGCGGAGAAATATGTTCGCCTCCGTTTTCCAGCGCGGGCTGGGGTCTCAGTGCATCTGGCAGCGCTCTGAGCGCAGACACGTTCACTGCCGCCCCGGAGAGTCAGGCCGGTTGCCCCCGTGTCGGGGTGGGGCTTTCATACAGCAACTGGGGAGAGAAAACATTTAAAACACGGGAAAAGGTGACTCTGAAGTCTCCAAACTGCGGGGGAGGGGCGACTACAAAGGTGTGTGTGTGTAATACACAAAAATAATTTGAACTGAGGCTTGAAATTGACTAAATAGCAAAGTAAGCACCGACACCCTGGGCAAAGCCCCATTGACATCAGTAGGGCTCCTTAGGGGTGCAAAAGTCATGATGCAGAGCTTGTTTCAGGATTAGGGCTCAAGGGGGCTCGATCCTGCTTCCACTGAAATATTGAAGTCAGCGATCTAACTCCAACGGACTTCACTGGTGCAGGATCAGGCCCGAAATGAGGACAGAATGTATCCTGTTGTTTTTATATTATAACTGAATGGGTTCAATCATGAGAGCGGGTTTGCAGCACGCTTTATAAAATCACCCTTTAATAAGTAAAGGTATAGAGAATTGCAGCTTCATGACCACAGAAACATCAAAACAGTCAGCTAGCTGTACGTATGAGAGTACAACCTGAAGTTTTTACCTAGCTTGTACTTGGGCAAATTTCCCATTGACTTCAGAGAGATTTGACTTAGCGAAGTGCTCAGATACCATACCATGGTGATAGGTACCATATAAGAAATATTATAGAATTCAAGATTTGCCCCTGGAGAATAGAATATAATCTTCTTTGCTAAAAACACAGATTACATACTTCGTCCCTGATTCTGCATGAGGCTCTGCGCAGGCACAAGATACACTTGTATGGAGCTCATTGTCTCTGTAGTTGTCAAGACATTTTCTTAGCTGTACATAGCTTTAGATAAGGACTAACGGTTGTAATTAATAATTACTTTTGTAGTCAAGACAAAAGTCTTCAATAAATGATAGTTAAGCTTGTAAATCAGTATCTATAATCTAAGGGGGTTCCATTAAAATACCATTGATATTGGAAAGCCATGAACATTAAGGTAATGTTTAAAACCCCAAAAAAACCAAATGTTGAGATGTATCAATGATATAGTTAAGGTACTCTAAACAGCCTTAACTCTGACCTTCCCTAACACCACAGAGTATCGTCGTTACTCTGGATACTTTCAATGTACAGTAGTATAAATTAGCCTGTACTATACTAAGTATCACACGCCTAACTAGTTAACAGTTCATATAATGAAAAAAAATCCTTAATGCTGTTCATAGCATACAGGGAAAAAAAACCTTTTGATGTTCCAATAAAACTACATGTAAAAATTAAATAATACTTTGCACTTATAAATTTCATTTAAAAAATTTCAGCTGAGGATCTCAAAACACTTTGCAAGCATTAATGATTTAACCTTAACAACCTCTTTGTGGCGTAGGAAACGTTTAAGAGAAACCTGACGCACACCGGTGACTTGCTCAGTGTTTATCACACATGGAGATAGTGATACAGTTGGGACTAAAAACCAGGAATCCTGATCCCAAGCCCTTGCTCAAACCAGTAGGTGATGCTGCCTCCTGGCAGAGGGATCTGTATCCTGGAGGGACACACACACACACTAGGGAACCCAGCAGCAAATGACGTGCCAATGCGGTGGGTGTAACTGCGAGCACCGAGGTTCCAAGTGCCGCGCTCCCACATGAAGCTAGATCGCCACAGCGTTGCAACGCCTCAGGGGGGTGCGGAACCTTTGCGACGCGGCCAGGGTTCCCCTGACGGGGACTGAATTCGGCGGACCCGGTCGCTAGAGGCTGAGCGGCCTGCGGTGAGGGGGAAGCCTGCGGTCTCTGCTGTCAGGTGAGGCGGGGGGGAGCGTGGCTGTCCCACGGCGGGCTCACTCGGGAGCAGCGGGGCCAAGCTACCCCGGGGAGTGGGGCTGGTCTATGGGGAGGAGGTTCCTGACTCTGGCATCGGCCCGTCTCTCCTCAGCAGCGATCAGCGCCCCCAGCCTGGTGTTCCCCAATGAGCTGGTCTGGGCGCTCACCCTCGCAGATGTGTCTTGCTGCTGCAGCTGGGCGCCTTGTGATTGTGACAGTCACCGTGTCGTGACACGATGCTGCCGAGCTAGCCCTAGAGTAGCGTCCGGGGCCGCTGTAATCATGCCTGGGAGGGTCGGCTCCTCAAAGGTAAATGGCGGAGCTCCTTTGTGCTATTTGGGCATAAGCTTTCGTGGGCTGAAACCCACTTCATCGGATGCATCGGGTTTTAGCCCACGAAAGCTTATATCCAAATAATTTGTTAGTCTCTAAGGTGCCACAAGTACTCCTCGTTTTTTTTGGTACAGACTAACACGGCTACCACTCTGAAACCTTTGTGCTATGTGTCATGTCCCCCTGCCCTCACACATCAGGGGGATTAGAAAAAGCAACCCTTCAATTAGGGCAGTGCTTAAAACGCATATGAGTGCAGAGGGGAGCATGGTGGGAGTGCTTGTGTGTTAAGGGGGAGTGAATGCATGGGAATTATTCAGCTATGGATGCATTTGTATAGTCATAAACTGCTGCATTCCTACGAAATGCTGCAGATTCAGTAGAACTCCAGCTCTTCAAAGGTCTTTGAGGACCCCTGGAGACTGGGCAGTGAGGTGCCTGCCGAGGCAAACTTTAAAGGTAACCTGCAAAGAAGAATAATTGGGCTTTTGCTCTGATTTTCTTCTCTGTGATCTATATAAAAAAGGGCTGAATTTTTTTTTATTTTTTTACGATAGTTTTCTCACTCCTCTCCTTCCCTGCATGTGTTTTACTTTAGAAATCTGGGTTCTGCTTCCACTGAAAATTCTATGACCAGCAAACTAGTGAAATGGTATCATCACAAAGGTCAAAAGAGTAAAAACTGAGCCCTTTAGAGAAGGGGTTTTTAGCCATACTGTTTAAAACTCTCTTTTGAGTTGTTTTAACATCTGTGATAAATTAACATTTTG